CATAAACACGATCAACTTTGGTGTTTATGACGTCGATATTCGACGTCATAAACACGATCAACTTTGGTGTTTATGACGTCTATATTCGACGTCATAAACACGATCAACTTAGGTGTTTATGACGTCGATATTCGACGTCATAAACACGATCAACTTAGGTGTTTATGACGTCGATATTCGACGTCATAAACACGATCGACTTTGGTGTTTATGACGTCGATATTTGACGTCATAAACACGATCAACTTTGGTGTTTATGACGTCGATATTCGACGTCATAAACACGATCAACTTTGGTGTTTATGACGTCGATATTCGACGTCATAAACAGGATCAACTTTGGTGTTTATGACGTCGATATTCGACGTCATAAACACGAACAACTTTGGTGTTTATGACGTCGATATTCGACGTCATAAACACGACCAACTTTGGTGTTTATGACGTCGATATTCGACGTCATAAACACGATCAACTTTGGTGTTTATGACGTCGATATTCGACGTCATAAACACGATCAACTTTGGTGTTTATGATGTCGATATTCGACGTCATAAACACGATCAACTTTGGTGTTTATGACGTCGATATTCGACGTCATAAACACGATCAACTTTGGTGTTTATGACGTCGATATTCGACGTCATAAACACGCTCAACTTTGGTGTTTATGACGTCGATATTCGGCGTCATAAACACGATCAACTTTGGTGTTTATGACGTCGATATTCAACGTCATAAACACGATCAACTTTGGTGTTTATGACGTCGATATTCGACGTCATAAACACGATCAACTTTGGTGTTTATGACGTCGATATTCGACATCATAAACACGATCAACTTTGGTGTTTATGACGTCGATATTCGACGTCATAAACACGATTAACTTTGGTGTTTATGACGTCGATATTCGACGTCATAAACCCATTCAACTTTGGTGGGAAACTTTGGTTGGAAAAAGATAAATTTTTTTATAAAATTCGTCGATATTCGACGTCATAAACACGACCGACTTTGGTGTTTATGACGTCGATATTCGACGTCATAAACAGCATCAACTTTGGTGTTTATGACGTCGACGTGATAAACACGATCAACTTTGTTGTTTATGACGTCGATATTCGACGTCATAAAGACAATCAACTTAGGTGTTCTTCACGTCGATATTCGACGTCGCAAACACGAT